TCTGCTGCAAGCAGCTTCCCTGGCTAACAGATGCCTCCTGCAGCAGGCAGAGCTCCCCTGCAGCAGCTGAGCCCGCAGCCCTCACCTCGCTGTCCCGGCTGGTGCGGCGGCTCTGGGACACACACTGGATCTGCCAGGGCAGGGGCTGGTACACCAGGTAAGGCAGAGGCTCCTCACGGAACAGGTTGGTCCCGAGCTGCACACAGGAAGGGTTGGCAGCAGGTAAGAGCACAGGAGAGAAGGGGAAGAGCAACAGGAAGAGCTGCTCCTCCACATGCATCACCAGTGATCACAACTCTTCCAGGCACCACCCCAAGGAGAGACTCCTCCCGAGGAGCCCACAGGGTCCTGCATGAAGCTTGGGTAGAACAGACCTCCTCCCCAGGGGCTTTAGGCAGGCACCCAAGGCCATTCCCAGCAGGGCAAGCAGAAACTGCTGCCTGCACTCCCGACAGCCCTAGCCAGGGGAGAAATGGGAGCAGTAAATCCTACCCCAGCGCGGACTCACCTGCCTGACCGCCCTGACCACAAAGAACAGTGCTGTCATCATGGTGCCCAGCATGGCTGGGCTGTCCCTCCGGCGCGGGATGGCACAGCTCTGCAGCAGCACACGGAGATCTCCAAAGAGCAGGGACTGAGATGTGCCTCCTCGGGCAGGCAGAGGCCAAGCCCCTTAAGGAGCTTACGGTCAGCGCGGTGAGGTAATCGGGCACTGTCCTTTTGCTCTTCTAATCGCCGAGTTTCTCCAGCAGACACAGTGCTGGTATTCCAGAAAAAGCAAATCCTCTTCTCCACGTACACAGGCAGGCACAGCCCACCCTGGAGTCAGAGCTGCTCGTGGGGACCCATCCCAGCAGGATCACAGCACAGCCAGGAGGCTCCACGGTGCAGATGGGACTGGGGATGTCTCAGAACTGCTGTGCTCTTTGCACAGTGGCTGCTCAGGAGTTGGGTAGGGGACCTGTCCCCTGTGCTGCCATCAGAGATCTCCAGCAGCTCTTATCCAGCCTGCAAGGACACACCAACACAGCTCCTCCACGGCAGCAACTGGGGCAGGTCAAAGCTTGGTGGTGGTTTGGTTTGCTTTTAAGGACAAAACTATCAGCCTCCATTTCTGCACAAGCAGCTCATCCACACACAGTTCTTCCTGTGCCTCCCCAGTGCCCCAGCTGCCACAGGCTGCTGGGAGGAGGAGACGGGAACAAGCCACGGGGAGAGAACTGCACCAATTCTCCCCCATTCCTGGTGAAAGCACTGCTCAGTGATCCCACCACGGGCTGCCAGAGGCACCCAGCACACCACTGGGGGAGGTCCTGGCTGCTCCCAAACATGTGAGGAATCAGCAGCACAGACAACCTGCAGTTAGGCAATTTTAACAGAGCCCAAGTTACCGGAGAGGAGCTCCAGTGTGATGCCTTGTTTTGGTTTTGAGCTTTCTCTCTGTCCCTGCATTTGCTACCCTGGTCAGGTAATTAATAGTATAATTGTAACAAAGCCACAGCAAGCTGAAGTGATCTTGGAAACTGCCAGAAACGACCTTGACAAGACAAAACACGAGCCAGCCCAGAGCACAGCGAGGGAAGATGTGGGAGGTAAGTACAGCTGGATATCTAGCACTGCAACTAAATCGAGCTACAACCATCAGCATCACACAAAACAGGCTCGTGTTGATTTAATCTTGTACAAAACCAGATACAGCTGCTGCCCCAGACTTTAACAGGAGAAAGAAACACGTTTCAAACCAAGTTACTGCGAAAAAAGAGGCTTTTCCCTGCACCACTCATCCACAATTCCCCCAACACAGAGTGGACACAGTGAGCCAGAAGTGTGGGATCCTCCTGAAACACCTCACTGGGAAGTGCCACATGTCCCCCAACATCCATGGAACTCAAATCCCTACACAGGACCCTACACAACCTACAGACCCTACACAACCTACAATCCAACAGCAGATGGGACACCCGTGGTTTAATCCTTCCCCTCCCAAGGAGGACTAAGGCTGGATGAGTAAAAGTTCTAAGAAAAAAAGCACACCAAACAGACATTCTTAAAAGCTTTTATAATTCTGTTAACGAAAAATATATCTCTATGGTATACAAAGGTGTAAACAGCTCCTGCCGTGCTGACGGCGCGTGCCGGCACACACCGCCCGGAGCAGGAGAGGCTCTGCTTCCCCCACGGGTCACCACCCACCTGAGGAGCACACACAGCCTGGGGGGGCTTCACCGGCCTCCCCCCAGCCAGCACCCCCAGGGGAACGGCTTTGAAGATGGTTTCTCACAGATGGGATCCCTTGAAGTGCAGGTTTCCTCACCAGACAAAACAGCAAGTGGTTCGGCATCTTTTTAGAGCATAAAATATTCAGAGTCAGCTTGGAGGAAATACTGACAAAGACAACCAAATACCACATTCCCACTCAGCAGTATGAAAACCTGACTCCTCCCTGCTGGGGAGAGCAGCACCATCTGCCCCCCCTCAGCTCTGTGCATCCCATGGGATACACTCTGGGTTCAGCCTTTCCCGAGGAACACAACCACAGCCACCCAGTGAGCAATGCCAGGAGCCACCATCTCACAGCTGAGGTCCAGGAGCTGCTCATCCCAACACCTCAGCCAGCCTTCCAGTCTTCAAACCCCATCCCACACCCCTGCTTTCCCAGGAGAGTGGCAGAGCCACTGCAGGCTCCAGGCTGGATGCCAAGGGCTTGCCATCCCTGAGCATGAAGGAGACCCCAGCTGCTGAGCCAAGCTCTGATCCCTCTCCCCAGGGCACCCAGGGATGCAGGTGGGGCCTTGTCCTGACATTCACAGGAGGCTGAGCTCCTCAGCAGTGCCTGCACCAGCAGACACTGCTCACACTCTCCTGCCATTGCTGCTCTCGTTGCCATTGGCACATCTGACATGGGAACAGCTCCAAGAGCTGCTCTGCCACACAGCTCTGGCCAGCCTGGCACAGAAAGAAGCTTGTCCAGATCTGCCACAGAGAGCCACTCCTGGCTCAGGTCCTATTGCTCCCACCCCAAACAAGCAGAGCATTCCTCAAGAGTTCTGCCAGTGCCTGACTTTGTCCCCAGACTCTGCAGCTGTTCCACTGCTCCTTGTCCCCTGCCCACACGTGCCAGAGCCCAGCTGACACGGCCCCCCTGCCATGGCATCAGTGTGGGCTCATTTCCTGACACATTTCCTCCAGCAGAGCCTCAGCTGGATTCACATCCTCCCCCTTGACCAGTTACTCAAAGTCCTCTGTGATTCACAGCTCTGCCTCACCATCGCTGGAATACTAATGAGGGAAATGTTGATTTATTGAAGCCCTGATATGTCACTGCTGGATTAAGCAGTCTATAAAGTATATTTGGACACATTACAGGATTAGAAGAATCCACCTGGGAAGTTCACTTCCTCCTTCCTCCACTCTCCTGCAGAGACTTTATTTCAAGGGCACAGCACACAGAGGTGGTTGTGTGGGAATCACCAAACCCCAATGTCCCACGAGGAGACTCTATGGACTCCACCACCACCTCTCCAGAGAAAAATCCCACCTTTTAATAGTGGTACACCTTGATCTGTCTGTTTTCATCCATCCCCAGCTGGAGGAGGCTGGGGCTGCTGGCAGGAGCCTTATGTGCCCATGGGAAGAGAGGTCTGGCAGCTGGGTGAAGGAAAAACATGGATCACAGCAGG